AGAAAGCTACGTTGGAGAGATAACTCCTAATCAAACGCATAGCAGTTTCGAGAAATAAAAATAATTTCTTTGAAACCCAAAATAAATTCTTAACAGAATCCAAGGCTGACATAAATAATAAATACATTTTTGGGTTTTGGATAAGTCAGATAGAAATCTCATCCCCTAAGAATCTTCCGAAGACTGCCTTTCTTTTTTTTTTATCCTTCTCTTCTTGGTCTTTTATGCTATACAGTTTTTTTTTTCTGAGCCAGAGTGTAAGGGCAGGAGATTAATGCCACAGTTAAAATTCCCCCGGAGAAGGCAGTGGATCAGCTGATTGGATGGTTGTGCTCTCAACTGGTCTCTCAGTATTTGCCTATTTTTAAGTGGAATCTCTCTGATTTTTTCATTGAATACATTTCACGTGTACATCGGAGCAGTTTATATTGCTGTTTGATACATATTTTTTTATAATTTTTTTTTCTCTTTCTTTCTTCTCCTATCGTATGCGGTATACTCACCAAGTGATGTCTAGTAAGGTGCCCAAGAGGACTCGGTCAGACGGAGTTAGCTCACCAGCCAAACAAAGAACTCGTAGCTGCCTACGAGAAACATCTCCAACAGCAAAAGTGAACATTTCAGAACCAAAACCTCAGCCACAACCAGGAACTTCTTCTCAAGAAATGATCGAAGAATCCCCTTTCTTTACTCCAAACCCCTACCAAGTGCTTCAAAATGACCGAGAAGTAATGGAATCTGCAGCGATACCCACAGAACCAAGGCCTCCTTCGATATTTGTGAAAAATATAAAAAATTTCCAGTTGTTCTGCACCCAACTAAATAAAATCTGCTCTGGTAGTTATTCATGTCTTAACAGGAACAACGATACAAAAATAACACCAGATACTGCTGAAACCTACCGAATAATGGTGAAGTACCTCTCAAACCTACCAGCTTAGGCAGGAGAGATCGTCACGAGTAGCAATAAGAAATTTACACTCCTCAACCCCAACTGAACTGATAAAAGAAGAACTAGCGGCGCTTGGTTTCAAAGTACGTCAGGTAACCAACGTTCTGTAGGAGAATAAGGAGCAGCCTGGAGTAAACAATAAAGTACCACTACCTTTATTTTTCGTGGATCTGGAGCCATCACCCGGTACAGAGAAAATATACGATATCATAAGATTATATTACACAATGGTGAAAGTAGAGAAACCATACCCCAAGAGAGAAATAGTGCAGTGCCATAATTGTCAGGCGTATGGCCACACTAAGACTTATTGTCACCATCTGCCGCGTTGCGTGAAATGAGGTGAAAAGCACAAATCAGTGGAGTGCACAAAACCTATACAAGATCCTGCACTGTGTGCACTATGACTGGAGGGACATCCGGCCAACTACAAAGGATGACAAATTTACAAGAATCTCAAATGCAGACACCTGAAAAACTGGATTCAAGATGAAGCAGGAAGACCAAGAAGAGTGAGAGCCTTCTAGAATAGTAAACAATGGTGTATCATTTTCCCAGCTACTTAGAGGTAAGAGCTCAACCGATAACTGTCAAGCCCTGCTGCAACAATAACCTCAATCCCAACCTCAAAATCCTATTGATCCGAATAAACCTAACCACCAACAACAAATTCATCATATCCCTCCTCCTTCAAATGCAACAGATCTCACCACTTTGCTGGCATCTTTCCTTACCGATTTTAAATCCTTAGTTACTCCACTCATATCAATCCTCACAAATCTCGTATCTCACCTCATCCCCCCTTTAAAAATTCCTTAATGACTCACATCCCAAAACCCATATCCATTCTCCTTTGGAATGCGAGTGGTGTTAGAAATCACGTTGACGAACTGACAGCTTTATTACTGGACAAGAACATCGACGTGGCACTAATTACGGAGACACGACTGACCGGAAAACAGCATTTAAAAATACCTCAATACATAACATACCATCCTGACTGTAAAGCACATGCCGGTACTGCTGTTATTGTACACCACTCATCACCAGCTCCCATTACCGACACAAGATTTCCTACAATCAACCGCTATCGTAATCAAAACCTTCTCCTTTTCCGTCACCATAGCATCAGCATATTGGCCTCCTAACAGATCCATATCCAATATCCAGTTCAGTTCTCTTCTCAACTCCTTAGGACATAATTTCATCCTGGGTGGAGATTTAAAAGCCAAACACCATCAATGGGGTTCTAGAACCACGAACTCTCGTGGCAGAACATTGTTATCTGCACTCAATTCCCAACGGTTCAGTATCCTTCCTCCTAACTCACCTACCTACTGGCCCACAGATCCTAACCGCAATACCGATATCCTTGATGTTTTCATCCACAGTGGCTTAGGTCCCCTCAATCATTCCCTTACCGTCTTGCCGAACTATCCTCAGATCATAGTCCATTATTACTCCGATTATCTCTAGCTCCTATTCCTAAGTCTTCTCCACCGTCCTTCATCAGAGGCCCAGTTAACTGGAAACTCTTTCACCGAATCCCTTCCGATAAAATTACCTCAGAATAACCCTAAAAACCTCAGATGACCTTGACAACCTCGTACACCTTTTCACCACCACTATCCAAAAGCAATCTGGACTGCTTCCTCTCCAAACCACTCCTCAAGAACTCCCAAGAAAAATAAGTTACCTCAACGCCTCATAGACCTAATTCATACCAAACGTCGCGCCAGATTATTATGGCAACGTACTAGACACCCCATCGATCGTCGCTCCTATAATTTTTACAGTAAACAATTAAAGCAGGAATTGGCCATCTTCAAATCCCAATCTTTCAACTCCTACCTTACTTCCCTCTCTGTTCATGACAATTCCTTATGGAAGATCACCAACAAAATCCTAAAATCCCATCATATTTCCCATCCCTTCCGTCGAAGCGATGGCGCCTGGGCAGCGTCTGATGAAGATAAAGCTGAGGAATTTGCCAGACACCTCTCCAGAACATTTACCTCTCATCCGGAATCCAACCTCACCCATACCACAACAGTAGAAGAATTCCTTACACCACCCATTCAACTTTCCTTGCCCCCTAAAGCAGTTAATCCTTCTGAGGTCAAACATCACTTACAAAAACTTCCTCTCCGTAAATCCCCTGGATACGACCTCCTTACCTCTCAAATCCTTCGACAACTTCCTCCTAAAGCTGTTATATTTCTCACCTACTTATATAATGCCATCCTAAGAACCACCCACTTTCCTCTTTTGTGGAAACATTCCACTATTATCCTGTTTCCGAAACCAGGCAAACCTCCCAACACCTCAACGTCCTACAGACCAATTAGCCTTCTTCCGATTCTCTCAAAAATCTTTGAAAAGATCCTCCTGAAACGCATCCTACCCTTTATAGAATCCCAAAATCTTCCTTCCCATCAGTTCGGATTTCGTTCACAACACTCTACAGTCCAACAAGGACTCCGAGTGGTTGATCATATTTCCGCAGCATTGGAAAGCAAGCAATATTGCTCGGGTGCATTTCTGGACATAGCTCAAGCTTTCGACCGGGTATGGCACGCCGGGCTTCTTTCCTAGCTGAAAAACTATCTTCCCCAGTCCTTGTACCTTGTTCTCCGTTCCTACCTCTCAGATCGTACCTTCCGAGTTCGTTGCGGTACTGAATTTTCGCATTGCTATCCAATTGAGGCAGGTGTTCCTCAAGGTAGCGTATTGGGTCCCGTCCTTTACATCCTCTTTACCGCCGATATCCCTGTCCATCCCGATACCTTCCTGGCAACTTTTGCTGATGACACCGCCATTTTATCATCCGACTCAGATCCTGATATAGCATCCTTAAATTTTCAATGACACCTCTCCCTGATTGAGCACTGGTGTAATAAATGGCGTATTAAAGTAAACGAATCCAAATGCCAACACATCACCTTCACGCTCCGACGCAGTTCCTGTCCACCAGTACCAGTTTAATTCCATTCAGCTTCCTTTCTCAGACACAGTCCGGTACCTTGGCTTTCTCTTAGACAGACGACAAACGTGGAACCCTCATACTAGACTTAAAAGACACGAACTAAACCGATAATACGGACAACTAAACCGGCTACTAAACAGAAAATCAAAACTTTCCATTGAAAACAAGTTACTTATCTACAAGGCAATACTGAAACCTATCTGGACTTACGGACTTGAACTGTGGGGAACAGCAAAATTTACTAACATCAAACGCATCCAATCCTTCCAACCTAAAGTCCTTCGAACAATAGTCAATACTCCTTTCTATGCAACCATCAAAACCCTACACCATGACCTTAATATCCCATTTGTCCTAGACCTTATCCCAGCAAAATTCTCCAAATTCCACCAGAACCTTACCCATCATCCAAATCCCTTTGCACAATCTCTATCGAGCACCACCCATCCATATAATCCTCCAAGGAGGTCAAAACGGCAGTGGCCCCGCGATCTTTTATAGTTTGTAAATATTGAAGTTCTGGCAATGGCCAGATTCTCCACTCACGACATGAGTGTATGTGGCTAAAGCACTCTTGCTCAATCTCCACTGGGTTTAGCCCTAGTGACGCGGTTGAGAGAGGAGTGCAGGGAACTCCTGGAGTCATACTTTTTCCTCCACAGTTGGAGTGACAAGTCTGGTTTCTAATTCTCTCGCCAAATTGTAAATATTGTATATAGGTGTGTATGTGTTCTTTTTATTTATTTATTTTTAGGTTATTTTATTCTTATTTATTGTATATATATTATTTTTCTGTATAATTCATTTTATTTATTGTACATAGAGTGTGAATGTGATCTGTGAACTCTATTATAAATGTCCTAGAGACAGATTGTAATATTTTTCAATAAATAAGCTTAAAAAAAAAAAAAAAATCCCCCGACACCGGAACGCAGTTTTATCAAATTATTTCTTTGATCAGATTGCCGGGCAAAAGCAGTGCTGTATACACGCGTTAGACCCCCTCAAAAATGACTTGTATCTTCAGAACACTAACTTATTCTTTGAATCAATACAACTCTAATTTAACCAATATTATTTATTCATAATAAAAAAATGCTGCCGACACTAAAATATAGTAGTTGTCTGCTTCGTATTTGTGAATGGCGAGTCCGTCAAACATGGGATTCCAGTAATACCTCACGGTTCCACGGGACGAATTGTCCGCCTTCTCGATGCATTGGATCACGATTACAATCTTGTAAGAAGGCCAATAAAGAGCATTGACAGCTCTCAACAGTTCTATGTTCAAGTATCTACAGAGGACGGCAAAATCGTCGAAGTCGTATTCTATTATCTTTTCGAAGAGTTGATTCGTCTTCTGCAACAAGGTTTAAATTGTCAAACACAATAATTGTCCCAAAATATGATGGTTATATTTCCATCTTAATGTGTTACTGAATACATGCTAATATGCTTTAAGTACTTTTAAAGGCTCGATAATATAACATATAATATTAGATATAGTCTGTGATACAGACCCCTTCATATCCAATTATTTACATCTGCCTGAAATTTCGTAAACAGCTTCTTCTCACGTAACCTACATATATTTTATGTACGAAAATTCTCCGAATTGGGGCATTTTCAACGCGGAGGTAGGCAATCTTTTTCTATTTAATTAGGTACTAAAAACTCGTAAATTCCCATTTGATTTCAATTTGAATCGTAAGATAACTAGAGGACAAAGTCGTAAAAAAAGGTGGCCTTCAAAAATATTGAGCCGTTTGGCATGATCTTCCCCTCCAAATTGTAAAAATAACGAGGTTATATAGGCTAAACGCCCCAATATTTTTGTAGGTCACCTTATTTATCGATTTAGTGATCAAATTATCTTACTATCCGAGTTGAAAGCAAATGGGTATTTACGAGTTTGAGTGCGCACTCAGATTTCCTCCGCAGTTCTCGACTTCTCATTATCATCCTGTTATACCGAGCGAGCATGATTTTCAATTCTCGATCTCTAGATACTATCTTATATTTCTCCTTTAGTTCTTGATAAATGGTTTTCAATGTTTATATTCATTGAAAACCAAAAATGAATCATTTTTATTTATTATCTGTATTGCGAAATAGTTTTTTTTTTTAAACAAACAACACTTAACGTACTTTTGGGGAAGAAATTTTTGAAGAATCGACATTTACGCCCTGTTAGAGACTATCAATAACGATAAAACCAACCATATATTAAAAAACACTTAATTGTACATTAGTATAACGAGTTTAATCAAAATCGTTGGAGTCGTTTTGGAGAACATCGTAAAAATGTATTAAATAGATGATATAAAGTACCACTTCTGATTTTCCAATTTTGACGAAAATGTTACTTTAATATCCCAGGTATATAAAAACATCAAGTACGCAATTGAATCGGTGAGTGCAGAAATCAATTCAGTCACAAATTTCCAATTTTTCAGGAGAGAGAAAAAACTTCACAAGTCCTCCATAGGTTTCGTTACTTACGTACGTCAGGTAACCAACGTTTTGAAGGACAGTAAAGAACAGCCAGGGGTAAGAAATAAAGTCCTACGACATTTGTTTTTCATGGACATGGAACCATCACCAGGTATCGAAAACATATATGAAATCACAAAATTGCACTTACTTACTGCATTGTGTTACGGTCCATTAAGAACCAACGCCTCCTCCAATTTCTTTCTCCGAAATTATACTGCATAAGCGTAAAAGTATAGAAACCATATCCCAAGAGGAAAATCATGCAGTGCCATAATTTTCACGCGTATTGCCATACGTTAACTAAATTTGGTGAATAGGACAAATATTTCGAGCTCATCAAACCGATACAAGTTCTTGCAGTTTTTTTCTTTAATTGTAGTCCTTTTCCTCACATTTTAGAGTTTACGGGGGTTTCCTAGGTCAGAGGGCGAGGGTGCATGATTAATGCCAGAGTTAAAAGCCCTACCCCCTCCTTGCCACGGCGACGCGAAATCGGTATTATTTTATTACATTATCTTCCATCCGGGTTTTCAGGGAACGCACAGTGCTGTACACACACACGTGTTTGTCTGCTCGGCCACCCTAACCCTATGTTCCACCAGTTTGTGCTCTGTGCCGGGAGACTACAAAGGCTGATAAATTTACAAGAATTTCAAATTCAGAAACTTTAAAACCTGCAATCAAGAAAAAACAACCAGACCAAGAAAAGAACCTTCTAGTTTCGTTCTCCCAATCAATAAATCTGAAGCCCGGCCAGCAACAACAATCTCAACTACAACCTCAATATCCTATTCATCTTAATATACTAACAACAAACAAAGTCCTCCTCCTTCAAAAGCATCGACAGATCTTTGGACAGTTTGGATACCAACAGACAGTTTGTTCAGTTTGTTGGCATCTTTCCTCATCGAATTTAAATTCTTTGTTACCCCACCCATATCACTCCTTACAAACCTCGTATCTTACCTTATCCCACCATTAAAAAATCCTTTATATCTTTCCTATAAAATTGACCTCTGAATAAACCTGGAAACCCTAGAAATATTGACAATGCCATAGATACCTTCATACTCAACAAGCAATCTGGACTGCTTTCTTTCCAAACCACTCCTCAAGAATTCCTAAGAAAAATAATTTACCTTAACACTTCATATACCTTACATTCCACCGTCCAACAAGGACTCCGAGTTGTTTACCATATATCCTCAGCTATAGAAAGCAAGAAATATTTCTCGGCTGTATTTTTAGACATAGTGTAACCTTTAGACCCGTTTTGACACGCCGGATTGCTTTTCAAGCTTAAATTCAATTTTCCTCCCATCTTTATTCCTAGTCCTCCGATCCTACCTTTCTGATTGAACCTTTCGAGTTCGCTGCGGTACAGAATTTCCCAACTGCTATACAGTCGATGCCTGTGTTCTTCAAGGTAGCATTTTGGGTCCTTTCCTTTATATCCTCTTTACGGCTGATATCCCAGTCCATCCAGATACTTTGTCGGCAACATGTTGTGATGACATCACCATCCTATCACCCAATTCTGATCCTGAAATAGCATCCTTCAATCTACTAAGGCATCCCTCTCTAGTTGAATATTGGTGTAATAATGGGCGTATTAAAGTCAATTAATTAAATGCAAGGACATCACTTTCACTCTTCGTTGCAGATTCTGTCTACCAATCTACTTTAATCCCATCTAACTTCCTTTTTCAAACACAGTACGGTATCTTAGCTCTCACGTAGACCGAAGACTAACATGGAATCCACATACTGGAGTAAAAATATTACTGACTAGGAAATCTCAACTTTCAATTGACAACAAATTACTGAGCTACAAAACGATCTTGTAACTCATTATCATATAATTGTCAGTTATTTTAAACAATGGTGAAGTTAAAGTAAGCTCGGTGATAAATTTGTTTAAAGCTAATGATTTACTAAACAAAATTTAAATTTGAGATTTTTTTTTCATATTAATGTATTATTGAAATAATTGAAATGAAGGTTAGACAGGCGTTGATGACTTCAGGGTTTTTTATCTCTAAGCCCCAAATAACAACGAAACGGCGTACGAAACTGAAATTGCATATTTTAAGGTTTGTATATACCTGGGGTGTTACAACTGTTTCATAAATCAGCAGACCTGAATAGCCACTTGATATCGTAGATTTTACACATTTTTAGAATTTTCTCGATTTTGATTCAAATCATTATATCAGTGTAAAATTAAGTTGTTTTTAAAATAATGTAGGGTTTTTTCTCATCAATATTCTAAAACTTGAATGTCCAAATTTCAAAATCTCTTTCTCTAAAGTACTTTTTTTTACTTTGAAATAACTAAATATTTCACATTGGAACCAGATAAAACAAATATTAAATATAATATATGAAAGAATTTGATAATTACCTAAAGGAGAAAAAAGGATCGCAACAGAGTACCGAAGAAACCCGCCGAAGAAAACCGTCCCAAGATGGGCCCAAAGATTAGAATAGGTTTCCATACGTAACATGTACTTAATAAAATACGGGTAATGTACAGAACATCGGTTTATTGCAAAAAATCGCTAAGTACATTTTTGATATAGGTTAATTTCTTAATGGTTTTATAAATTCTGAATTAATAAATTGTTACAAAAACACTGCAAGGACATGAAAATAAAACAAATCTTTTTTTGCATCAAATATAGTTATAACAAGCGCACAATTTTCTGACTTCATAAAGGAAAATTTGATCAAAGTTCTTCATTAGTCGAGGTCACAAAATATCACTCAATGAATTTATGCAATAAACCTACGATATACATGCGGTTTTCATAAATTCGGTATTATTATTTAATATATTAACCAACCGATTCCTTATCTGTAATCAAAGGACTGCAATATACATGGATCTGTAACACATCGCATCAAAAAATTCAACTCATGAACTTGAAACTATTTAAATATTTATGAAATAACATGGTCATGTGTCCCTTCACAGATTGGCATAATTGGCAATGAACGAGCCGATGAAAGAGCAAAGGAAGCCGCCAAAGCACAGATTCACCAGTTTTAGGATCAATATTTATCAACGAGTGGACAAGAGAAATTACAAAAAAAGTGAAGGATAATTGGAATGCACATTGGAAATTACTGCCACTCAATCACCTTCGTCTGACCAAAGAAGAAAATCCAGCTTGGTATTTCCCAAAACATGTAACATCAAAAGAATGTTCTTTATAGAATTTATTATTAATTCTTAATTAATTATTAATTCTTATTATTAATTATTAATTCTTATTATTAATTATTATTATAATTCATCAGGCCCAGAATTGGACATACCAAACTGACCCATCTCCACCTACTTCTTGGCCTACATAGACCAACACGTGAGACATGTGAAAACGTTAATCTGACCATAGAACACAATTCCAGTGCAACTAATTCCGTAAACAAAAAAATGAACTCAAAATTGATGACAAAGCATCGTCCAAATGAAACAATGATATTGAAAAAACAATAAAGTATATTAAAAAAATAATATCAATAAGTTATATTAAATAGAAGAAAGATTGTTGTTAATGACTTTGGCAGTCGATGCGACGTTAAATAATAGCAAATAAAATAATTTATTGTAGTAATTTTTGCTGGAATAGAGGTGTTTTTGGGTGACAGAATATTAAATCTGGTATTCCTTTTACGAAGCTAAAGGTGAAAAATCTCAACTTATTCTGTTTTTTTATCAATGTATTATTCGCGTTTTTTATTTTTATCACCCTCCAACTATAGTACCGATACCTCCTTTTTATAAGAACTTCCTTGTTTTATAAGCTTTGAGCCCATATTAATTAAGTTGATTAAGCAGAAATTCACCTCTAGTTGAGA